AGAAATCAAGTCACAAGCTTTCCTAAAGTCAAGGTATACTGTTCCACTCTTGCTCATACAACCAGTCTACTCATCTTAGAAGCTAATATGGTCAATCAGGCATAATTTATCCTAAGTAAATCAATTCTGGATACTGCTAGTCACTTTCCTACCATTTCTGTTCCTGGAACTATCTTCTAGGTAGATTTCCAGCGATTAAATTGAGACCGACCAGATTGCATTTGCTTAGATGAAAGCAGATTCATGACATCAGCCAGCTCCTTTTACAACCCAAGTAAAACTTATACAAGTCTGTGAGATCAGATATGCTTTTTGCACTCCTTAACTGCGAGATCACGTACTTTGGGTGACACTTTACTCCCAAAGACTCCATAAGCTCTGGAAACTAAAGCTGAGAGGCAGAACAGACAGGCTAAAAACAAGAGGGGAAAACCATACAAACAGGAAAAACCACCCCTTTTCCATTTCTTCTGTCACTGTCCTCCACTTCACAGTGAACCCATATTTCACTTTAACTTCACTTTTCCTCTCAATATATTTACAGAAGCCACTCTATCACTACACACTCCTCACAAAACGGACCTCAAGCTGACACCTGGCTTTTCTAACACTGTCTTTGAGCATTCAAGCAGTGTATCTACATCCTCCCAAACAGTCTGTCCTTACTTCCTGTTTACTCATGCTGTCTTCTAGTTTCAGAAAATAAGTTTAGACAATTCAAGGTAAGTTACCCAGTACTAAGAATTTACTAGACAATAGGTCGTATTTGTATAAAGGAACTTTAAAAAATATTCTAGCTTCATAAATATGGTAAGAACAACTCTATAGTGAATAATTAATCCACTTTGGAAGAATCATCACACCTGAGAAACAACTAAAAACAATCACTGTACATACAATACAATTCACTGTTTCAAAACAGTAAAACCACATCAGAAAGACAAGAATGATCATTTTTTTTCTTACCATTATTCATGAATTGTTAAATAAATAATGTATACAGTTTTGGCAAAACAAATCCTGAAGAATTCAAAAAAACTGTTCTATTCCAATAGCCTTGTGAACTACTCAAAGCAATTAACCCAGTTCCTACATCCATGTAGCTGGAATTTTAAGCTGTTCTCCTTTCCTCCAATGTTTGTTTCTCCTTGTTCTGCTTGAAGCATTTTCAATTGTATTTACCTATGAAGTTCTTTTTAATCTGCACATCTAACAATGGAAACACATATAATCGAAAATTAGCATTCCAACAATAACACTATATATGCTGTAAGCAAATTCAAATAACAGATTTGTTTTTACTATAGTCCAGCAACAACATTTCTTAAGTTTTTGATATATTACTATGCATGCATAAACAGATAAGATAAAAAAAGCATAAACAAAACCATATTTACCTGAAAACTAAACATCTAATTCTGTTAACTACTAGGAAACAGTATATATACAGTGAGTTTATGTTAGCAGTATCCTTTTAGGTCTACTTGAAGATATAAAAAAGCATTCTAAGGAATCAGTAATAAGGCAGTTATTACAGTTATCAAATGACAGCAATCGTATTATCCTCCCTATATTATCAGATTGCAATCAGTACAGGTCCAAGCCAGAAAGAGAAGTTTGAAGTCTTATAATTTAAAGTTAATTTTGGTCTCTTTGAGAAAGTGCCTCATCCATGGAAATGTTCAAGGCCAGGTTGGGGAACTGGGTAGCCTGATCTTGGGTAGCAATCAGCCTGCAGCAGGGCTTGTGTCTGGATGTGTTTTAAGGTCCGTTCCAATCTAAGCCATTATGTAGTTCTGTAGTTCTCTTACACATCCTGATGAGCTGCAGGCAATCACTAACAACAGACATGCTATCAAGCAAGTTTTTGTTTACTGTCCAGATGAAAGAAGACATCTCACCCCAGTAAATGAATCAGTACAAAAGACTTCTTGGTCTAACTGCAGCTGAATGCAGAAAACTTATTTCTTAGAAAGGCAAAGAGTTCTCCCTCACTGGTATTTCAACTCCGCAGATTTTCTTCTTAAGTAAGAGAATCTTAACTCAATGAATTACAACAACATTGTCAAGGTGCCAGTCTTTCTTCCTAGAGCTTGAAACAAGATTTCTTTGAAATAGAATTCTTCTGATACCCTCTTGACTGGTGGAAGAAAAGATTATACTTAGAAAAAAGTGTGCTCTCTGGCAAGTGTGGGAAAAACTCAGAAGAACAGCAATACTGTTTTCCTTCTCCAAGATTTTCAAAGATATATATTTTATCAATACAGACAACACTTTAAAACTTTGTCCAAAGAACAAATAAGTTTTAGATAAGCACCCATAAAAAAAAAAATCTCTTGTCTGTAAATGCTGTCAGATTCTGATCTAATGTCTACTTTCTGGATCCTGTCCACTTTGGCCACAGCGATCAATTTTTATTTGTAGGCAAGGAAGTGGGCATTTTTCTTTCTTTTTTTTTTTTCAGCTGAAATTCTATAGATTTGCAGCCTAAATATTCAGTAGGAGAGAAGAGAGATTTTTCTTACATAAAACACTAAGCAGTAGTAGTGCATGGACTATTTCTACAGGTTGTAACAAAAATAACCTGTTTCTGTACTGTGCACACACAGAAGTTTCAAAAAGATTTGCATCCCCTCTGATCTGTGCTTATGATCCACACACTGAAACTGCTGGATTTGTTTGGACGATGCAAGTCTGCTCTAAGTTAAGTAGACCAATAATCAATGTACCTTATTAACATTTCTATTCTATTATTTCCTCAAAAACTGAAAACACATTATCATGTTATGTAAAGAGGTCTGCATGAAATCACTGCTCAATAACTCAATAACATTGATCAATAACTTAAGAAAAAGTTTCTGCGTGTGATGTTTTACCAGTATAAACTCTACTGTGTCAGGGAATTTGAATGATTTATGTGAAAGCTATCTTCTTTCTCCTCCATGATGAATCAGGAATATTTCTATGCCAACTCTGTAAAGGTCTCTTAGTCTAAAACCCAACAATGCTGAAAAAATATGTGAACAACTAGTGCCTTTCAGAATTGTGATTCATAACAAAAAGAATAGGCATTTTTATTTAAGAAATAAATACACTGTATATTCAGAAAGTGTCTATTTGTTTATTTTAAAAGACAAAAAAAATCAACACAAGCAACCAGGAAAAACTATTTTTTCAATTAAAATTTTATGAATATAATATTGGTTCACTTTTTTTTTCTTTAAACAAAAAAGACTACTGATTTAATAGCTATTTGCCCAGGAAGTTGGAGAGTTTTTCCTCCTTCTCTGCTGCCACTCCTCCTATTTAAACTATTTGAAAGCAAACTTTATTTACCACTGTCCAAATTACAAATCTGTCCTCCCTCAACAATCAGACTTACAATTAACACTTATAGGTCCTGCACTTATGAAACTTAAGTAGCATCAGTGTGTCACTACTAACAACGGAGGTGTTCCTTTAATTCCACTCAGCTCATTCTCTGCTTGGCCAAATGACAACCTCACTATTAGACAGTTTTGGTTTTTTTCCCAAAGAAGTATGTAACAGCATGAACACCAGAATCAGCCACTTATCTCCAGATACCTCAGTTAAGGGCCTCGTTTTTCTAGACTCCATCTTCACAGAAATAGGTAGCCCAGGCAGGCTGTTAAGTGCATTCCATGTCTGTTTCCTTACAGAGACATTTCTACCTCTAGTGTATACACAAACCAGAAGGCATGGAGACATTTTAACTGAAGCTGTAAGTTACCTAGAATTAGGTGGGGTAAACCAAGTCCAACCACTGTTGTTAACTGCAGGAGCACAGAGAAAAAAGTAGACTGAAAGTAAGCTTCTATCGACTTACAAAACTACTTGAACATATGTGACCAATACAGTCTTGAGTGCTGGCAGACACTAGGATGGCTGTATGAGCCAGTCATGGAAGTAAAAGCACCACATGGACAACGCTTGTTTGACTACTGTTTTACAGAGCAGCAATGATAGTGGATATGGTGGAGAACCTACTTTAGCAGGGAGGTTGGACTCAAAGATCTCTTGAAATACCTTCCAATCCCTGCAGCTCTCTGATGAACATTTCCTTTTCCCCTTTACTGAATTATGGAAGCTCAGTTGTTTCACAAATAATATGCTAAAAATCCATGAGATTCCATCTGATGAATCTGGCAAAAAGCATGTCATAGAAATGGATTAACAAAGCCTTTCTACTAACCAGCTTTTTTGAAGACTATGCTAATTGATAGATAAATAAATAAACAGGTAAAGGTCATTCAACCACTGTACTTATCAAGGAAAAAAAAAAAAAAACCAGTCATTTAACGTCAAAGTAGTTCTCTCATACAATAGAGAATGCTTGTGCTGAAATCTGGAGTCTACACCCATTCCAAAACACACAGTTGTAAACATTATCTGCTAAAATCAAGATACAAGAAATAGAGAACATTATGAAGTTATAAAATCTCTGAAGCATTTGCTCATACATCATAATGCAAAAAATACAAAAACTGTATCAATTGATAGTAGAAGAAAAAAGAAAAAACTGAATCCCATGCTACCTACCTCTTGAAGATAAAGTTTCAAAAGCTAAAACAGAACATTAAAGCTGAAAGCAATATTCCAGTAGTATGTCATTTAAAGCTACGCGAACTGATAATGACAATACCATAATCATTTATACAAAACATTTTTTACCCTCTTAATTGGCACAAAAAAATTAATTTCTGCACTTAAACAGTCAAAGTACAAACTTCAAGCACCTTTAGTCCAGATGAATTCAAGTTTAGTTTGGCAAGCTTAAGACTCAAACTGTTTAGCACCTTGACAGATGCAGCAAACAAAGATGGAAATATGGAAACACTCTTGATTTCCAGATGTGTTACAGTAACAGCAAAGCTGACCTAGAAAATATTTCAGGAAGGATTCAGTAATCCTAAGAATCAAAGCTTTTTATTGCTAAACTTAAGTATATTTAATATGTAAATATATAAATATGGTAATACCTTCATAGCGTGGATTTCTTCTATTAATCTCTCAACTCGTTTTTGGTTCTTCAGCTTCAAGTCTTCTGAACCCCTGTAAATGAAGTCTTTATTAAAAAAACCTTAGTTTTGTTCACTTTCTTATTAGAGAATAGTCATACTACATATCTATCAAGCAATCATAAGAATGAGCACAATCACATCCCCTTGATGTGATGAACACTGTGGTGAAAAGTGGTTGAGTAGTACAGTGTTTCTCCTGTTTTGAACAGAAGAAAAGAAAACACTGAAGATTTAGCAAAATAATCACAAGGACAAGCATTACTTGATTAGAAGTTAATGACAACATTCCTACCACTAACACCTAGGAGATACTGCTATTTCAAATACAACTGCATTCTAAGATCTGCAACATTTAAATATAAATGTTTACTAGGCCCATACAATTTGCTAAGTTTACGAAAGAGCAGTACATTCAATTTACACTTTGAACACTAACAGACTCATCTTTTTTTATCTCCAGTGAGATAACACAAGTCGCTTTGAGCCAATTATCTTTAAAAATATAAACTAGAAAATGTTGCTTTAATAATATTAACCATAAGTATAAATTTGCAGAGAACTGCAGTGAGAAAATAATGGACAATTTGTGATCAAGAGCAGAAAAGCATAAAAGATCAAGTCTCATGGCTTTGGAAGTGCTGCAGAAGGTCCTCTGTGGTGATTAACTTGCAAATACTAAATCCTTTTAAAACATGTTAGCTCTGTTCTACTTCATGAAACTACTTTACAGTTAGTATTTTGGATCTACCTAAAATAAATTGTAAAATAACTTGTAAAAATACAAGTAATAGAATAAATATATCAGTGTGCCTTAAGTTTTCTATGTAATGCATGTTTACCCCTTGTCCCTGTTATTAAGATAATCCAGTTACTATCTCATTTACTAAAACACAAATAAAACCAATGATGTTTAAAACTGACTTTTTCAACTTCAGTTTCCCAATGTGCCTGGTCAGTCTGCGAATGGTCAGGACTCTGGCTTTCTTAACATCTTTTCTCATCTTCACAACCTGTCAGAAAGAAGGTAGAGAATATGAAACTCCTCTATTTTGACGAATTTCCGTATAAAATGTATCTGTTACATTAATTTATATTTTAGAAATCATCAAAAGCCATTCTTGAAAACGGAGTGCATTCTGCTGCTACCCAAATTCCAGGTGAAACAAATTCAAATTTCATTTAAAATCAAGCTGCTTTCACAGACATCTGAGGAAGAACAACCAACAGTCTAAAATTGTGTCTGAAGTCTAAGACATTCCTAACTAGCCATATTTCAATATTATCCTTAGAGCCAGACTGAGCTACAGATTTGTAAAGACTCATCTTTTGCCTTCAGTTTGTTTATTTTTGTCCTGGTAAAACAGTACTTTTCCATTAGCGCATCCTATTTTCATTGTGAAATGTTTTAAAAGATCTAAGGAAAGATTCTTAAACTAAACACTAATTATTATTTAAAAAAAAAAACAAGATATGCAAATCTTTTTATGTATCAGATTTTTGTTAAATACAAACACATACAGAGATATTCAAATAGATATTCAAATTCTCTATACAGATATTCAATGTGCTACACTCAATTTCAACTTCCTACTCTACCCAGTTCCCTCTACCTCCCAAAATGTATTTTAATATTAAAGAAAACTTGACAGGGATGTTCTGGTCTTACTTCTCTCCCAAAAATAAGAGGAGAATAATTACAATTATTAGTAAAAAGGTGTTACTAACAGAAAAATCCTTGGAATCTTTTGGTTAAAATTCCATCATGGGAAACCTTAAGACAGAACACAGTCTTCACAATGAAGCACATTTCAGAGAGACAGATTCAACAACTACTTACAGTATTGCTAAATTAACTCTCAAATATTACTTATTAAAATACATCAATATTAAGATTTCATATTTAAATTTACAAAATATGAAATATTTAAACAAAAACATTATTGTTCCTGACAAAAAGTCGAATTTATCTTAAGTTCATAAAATGCGGATAAAGTTCAAAAGAAGTTGGCACCTCTTTGTCAAGTAAGTTCTCAACCTCAAATTTCTATATTGGCTTATGATTTCTTAGAGACAACATGAAAATGATGAAACATCTTGCCCAAATATCTAAGTTATCATCCAGCCAGTTCTCCCAGGGAATATTAGCATTAGAAACCACAATCAAGCTCAACCACAAAACACAGCAACAAAAAAAATCTTCAAAGCTTGTTGAGGAACATTTCATGTTACAGTATGATGGAAAGTCTGAGACCAAAAAGGCATGAAGTCATTACTTATTTGAAAAAATTACACATTTTGCACACACCTTACTACATTTGTAGCTAGGTTACTTGTATAAGTAAGCATTTAAGCTTCATATTGTGCTTAGCAGCAATTCTACTAATCTGTTGAAACAATTTCTAGGGACAGGACCCTTAAATTAAAGGACCCTGCTTGTATCACAGTAAAGGAAAAAAAGCAACACTTCTGCCAAAAGTAGGAGGGCAACTGTTCTGTGGTAGTTATTTGAAATTGCACAGAGAGAAAAGAGAAAATATGTTGTTTGGTGCAGGCAAGATAGCCTCAGAAAGGGCAAACTGGGCCAAACTTGTGGTCTTCTAATACAGTAACAGCATTGGAGGACAAGGCAAGATAACTGATGCCATCTACCTTCACTCGTGCAAAGCCTTCTGTATGGTCCCCCACAAGTCAATGACATTGACAGTGGGATTAGCATATTGGCTGAGTTTGGTCAATGGCTCTAAGTCCAGGTGGAGGCTGGTGATGAGCAGTGTCCCTGAGGGAACTGTCTTGGGACTGCTGCTGCTCAATATCTTTATTGGTGACATAGACAGTAGGATCGAGTGCATCTTCAGTGAGTTTGTGGATGAGATCAAGCTGAGTGGTACATTTGATACAACAGAAGAAAAGGTGGTTGAGAAGCTAGAAATGAGCTTGTAGTAAATGCTTGAAGCCTGGAAGGCCAACCATATCCTCTGCTACATTTAAAAGTGTGGCCAGCTGGTCAAAGGAGGTAATTCCCTCTTGTGAGGCTCCATCAACAGCATTCCACCCAGGGGCCCTCACCATAACAGAAACTCCTCCTATTAGAGGAGGCCCATAAAAACAAGAACTGGAACACTTTTCCTGCTAAAAGGTACTGAAAGAGTTGGAATTGTTTAGCCTTGAGAAGACAAAACTCCAGTGGAGACATGATTGTAGTGTTTCAATACCTAAAGGAAAAATAGAAGAAAGATGGGGATGAGCCTTACTACTAGGGTGAGTAGTGAAAGGACAAGTGGTCATGGTTTTAAGCTATAAGAAGGAATAGTTAGATTAGATGTTAGGAGGAAACTCCTAAGTTAGTGAGTGGTGAGTCACAGGAACTCTGCCAAACCTATGCTAGATAGCTGCACTTTGTAAATCTCCATGCACTGACAAAGAAATGCTTGACTTTTGCCATCTTAGGGTGTACCCATTTTTTTTAACATTTGATATTGAGGGGAGTTATCTTTTTAAAGAATAGTTCCCTGTAATAAAACTTCCTATAAATAGAGGAAAGAAAATAAAGCATATTCTAGTTGCATACCTCTTACATACTACATATGTTCAAAAAGATGTAAACTGGGTACACCATTTCTGAAGGAAGGTGGTTGTTTTTTGTTTGCTTTTTAAAGTATCTCCAAGCTACAAACTCATTCGAATTCGAAGAATTCATACAGTGACTTAACATGGTAGTTTCTGCATACCCAAATACTAAGTATATTTAACTTTCTCTCCAAAATGTTTTGTAATGTATTTTTATAGAAATCTTAATGCAGACACAGCATGTTTCTGGGGCATAAATGAGCCAAGACCCAGCCTCTCCAGCTGCCAGCCAATAAAATCTCTGTACACATATGACAGCAGGAATGAGGGAAGGTATTCACTCCTTGGCAGGCCAGGCACATCAATTTATGTAATCCACAGTCACTTCTTTCACACGGGACAGTATGCATCAACTCTGTTCTTGGAAGTACTCATGAAGTTCTCAAGAAAGCAGTCAGTTATTTGGAAGAGAAATGAAAAAGGCTTTGCTTCAGATATACAGCGTGCCTGAAACCATGGGCTTTAGGCTATCACTGTGGCTACCAGGACTCACTGAACTGTCAGCTTCTTGCGTCAAAAAGCGAGGCAGGCAAGCAACTAAACAGTGAAAAAGAAAATAAAAAGTCAAAGAACCCCCTATGCTCCTCAAACAGAAACAAGTAAACAAAAAAAAAAACTGTGGTGGCTTTTAAAAAATTAGAATAAACATTTGCTCTTAAAAAATAGTATTTTTTTTTGTAAATAAGTAATAAAACACAACAAAAAGGATGCGTCTTTGCACTGAAACTTGCAAAGGCTAAACTATCAAACAAGATCAGACTTACCAATGCTTTAGGGCACACAGACAAGAATTTGTAATATACTTAAAGGCGACAGTAAGCTCAAAAGAATAATTACAGCCTCAGGCAAATCTCAAAGCAGACCTATCAATAGCAATACATTCCAGGATTCCTAGAAATTCAGGAAGCATGCTGTTGTAAGTGGAGGCAACCGCTTCAAGGATTCTTTGCAATAAAGTACATGGGATGCCTTTTGTTTTGGAAGACACTTGGTTTTGCAGAAAAACATTATCTAAGAGGCAACTGCACTCTAATTATTAAATAGTAAGAAGAACTGATCATAGTTACCAAGAAATATTCCACAGTCATATTATAGATAATTTATAAATTTTTAAATCTATAAGAAAAAATAGTGGAAATTAATTCACTTTCAAAAACAAGCCAATATAGTGAAGCACACTAGCCTGAAAGAATACAAGAATGTTTCAGAAGTAAAAACCTTAGCTTAGGAACTGCACCAAAAACTACATCCATTCTACACTATGCCTTTCTTAGATACCATAAGGGGAATTTATATTACTATAAATCCTAAACAAAGATGAAATGCAAAAAAAAAAAAAAAAATACCATGAGTCTAGCTATTTCACAGAATAGACTTCCACTGCCCCAAGAGTTTGCAATATAAAGCAAATGTTCACCGAAACAGGATGTATGTAGATTGCTCTGAAAGTAATGCCTTCTATTTATTTCTATGGAAACTACAACAGACACAAGGAGTACAATGACACAGATAATGAAGGCATTACTTCTGGTGCAGCCCTCATACACCTGCCAAGTTCATATAAGCCTTTTCTTGCCATATGCAGAAAGCAGTTTCTTCTCTTCAAAGAGACTAAGGGAGATAGGGTCATCAGGAAATTACTAGCCTGAGAAGAACTGTGCAATCTTAAAATCATAAAATGTCTTGAGTTGGAATGGATGTTGAAGATATTCAGTTCCAACTCACCCTGCCATGCAGGGTTGCCACCCACAATATCAGACTGCCTAGGCCTTATCCAACCTGTTCTTCAACACTTCTAGGTATGGGGCACCCACAGCTCTGGGCAGCCTGTGCCAGTGATCACCACTCAAAATTCTCTCCTATAATTTTACCTTTGCCAAATTAGTGCAATTTACTGTGGTGGATTATAACATATATTAAAAGGATAATGGCCACACAGGCAGGAGCTCCCAGTACTTGCTAGTTACAGTTACTGCGAAGAGCATGGATTCTTGTGGAGGCTGTGTTAAGGGATATTTGTAGACAATGGGGAAGTAACTGATGTCATCTACCTTGACTTACACAAAGCCTTTGATATGGTCCCAACCTTATCTTTGTCTCTAAATTGGAGAGAGATTTAGCAGATGGACTACCTGATGGAGAAGGAATTGGCTGGATGGTCATACCCAGAGATGTGATCAATGGATCTATGGGCAGGTGGAGGCTGGTGACAAGTGATGTCCATCCTGGGACTGGTGCTCTTCAACATCTTTACCAATGACAGACAGTGGGATCGAGTGCACCCTCAGCAAGTCTGCTGACAACACTAAGATGACTGGTGCAAGTTATACAATGGAAGGGATGCCATGTAGGGAGACCACAATGGAAGGGATGCCATGTAGGG